AAAAAAAACAATTTCAGCAGGATTTCTTGATATGCATCTTGTTCAACTTCGTAGTAAACCAACGATATCATTACAGAGCAAGAACTGTATCACTGGGGGCATATAAATCATGTTGGATCAGTCGGTTACAACCTAACAACGCATACAAGCTCCGTCCACATTGCTCGGCTGTCCCTCCCAGGAAGAATTCTCGTAGACCCCACGTACGGCTGATAACCACGTTAGCTGATTGCAGTGGCGTCAAGCATTTCTCATGCGTTTTATACTTGTGTCACACGGTCACTTTTGATCGTGATCTGGCCTGATCTGGATAGAGCCTCTCAATCGTGATTGGCTCATTCATTCAAGCTTTGATTGGAAGCCACTTACTGGTCAGTACGTTTTGAACAAATGCTCAACAATTTAGAGCGCGATCTACCCTACTATGGGAGAGCAGAATAAGCTGCCGCAGTTTTAAAATTGAAGCATGTGTGCTTAGGAAAAGTGGATAATGATTCCGAGTACGTCGTACTATACTACGGGAGGGCAAGGAGTCGTCCCATATCATGCCGTGAGGTCTTGGCTCTTGCACATTTCAATCGACAGTATAGTCAGCTGGAGTATTTGTGTTTAAAAAATCACAGCATATCTACGGAGTGAATTATGACAAGTGGGGCGAAGCGTCCGGACGGACGGTAGCACTGACGGACGGCCGAACAGAAGCACGGACGCGTGGACGGACGGATGGATGGACGCACGAACGGAAGCATGGATGGACAGAAGCATGGAAGCGCGGGCAGAGATATGCACGGACGGATGGACGGAAGCATGGACAGATGGACAGACGGGCTAACGAATGGACGCATGGACGGATGGACAAACGCTTCACCCCACTCATCATAATTCACTCCGTTGATATGCTGTGAAAACCACTAACGCTATCTCGTTATATTATTCCCAAGGATATATACACACAATGCCATCTATTGAGTAACTCATAAACTAGGGGTGGCTACATACTACTACTACTACAGAGGAGGGAACGGCCCATGGCCTAAGGAGCTTCGCCACTGCAATAATGTTCGACGATTTAGAGTACTTGGTTCTCTTGCGAAGAATAGCAAGCACCCATTGTGTGTGTGTTTAGAAGAAGTGGTTATCGATTTAGAGTATACTTGGTACTTTACTACGGCGAGGCCGGCGTTCCGCGACATAATGGTGCCGAATCTCAAGGGACAACGAGCGGCTCCCAACGACGTGGAGAACGAGCGACGGAAGCTATGAGTTGCTACTAGAAACAGCAGCCGAAGCCACCTGATCCTGTTCGGAACCACACCCAGGGAAGAAACGAACGAAACCGGCTACATTACGAGCAAGTATGTCGTGATTTAAACGAAACATGAATCGCCTTAAAGCCAAGCGTGCTGCTATACACGCCCGATTAACGAGAGTGGTAAACGAGGTGACAACGTTGTTGCAAAGTGATTGCAACGACCGAACCGCGATTAACAAGGTTATCGACAAGCTCCTGGCAAACCGAGACGACCATTGAAAAATTAATGACGAGCTCGAGGACGTGATTCATGTTAAAGAACTTGAGACTGGGTACGAGTCTGCGGCGTATTATGACGACCAGGCAGTGGAGACCCTGACGCGCTTACGATGCCGACTGGAAGATCTTAGCATCGGTAACACGTGACAAACTTCTGTTTAGACGACGCAACACATGCTATATACCTGCTCAAATGACAGCGGCATCTCGAAGCGTCGGACCTTGTCTCCCAACGCTAACCATCGAGCCGTTCATGGGGACGTGCGCCAGTGGACGTTGTTCTGGGAGCAATCCAACGAAGCTGTCCACTCGAATCTGACTCTGAGCACCACAGATAGATTTCATTACCTCCGCAACTATCGGGTAGGTGACGTAGCAGCTGTGATTTCCGGACTACCGATGTCTGAGGCATTCTATAAAAGTGCAATCGAGTTCCTGAAGCGGAGGATTGGTGACAAAAAACAAGAATATACAACGGCACTTCAGAGCACTTCGTGAACTGAACCACGTGAAGTCTCCATCGGATACTATATATTTGCGCTGGCTCTACGACACATTACAACTGAATGTCCAATGCATCAACGCCCTAGATGTCCCAACTAAACATTTTCGGGGATGCTCTACGATGTGATGCCACAATACCTGCCACAAGAAATTGTCGTCCCGTTTCACTACTATAGACGTCTCCAGGATGAAGCACAAGGCTTGGAAACATCTGTTTCAGGAGAGGCAACCACGACACCTTGCAAAAAACTGGAACAGCTCTTGTGGTACTCACAGATAGAGCTCGAAACAAGAGAGCAGTGTGCTCCATCGACGCCCTCTATCAAACCCAGCGACAACCACAAAAAACATGTGCTATCGGCATCGGTCCTACACGCATCGGGAGAATTGAAGCAAGCACACCACGAATCCTTTTTTTGCAAGTCTGCAGAACACGAATCAGAAGCATGCAGCACTACTTTGACCATACCAGAGAAAAATAACCGCCTGGGTAAATTTATGCGGTGCCATCGGCGCACTAAAAATGGTCACCACACGAACGAGTGCCCGCAGAGGTTGGTGTGCGTAAAATGCAAAAGCAGGCATGCTTCAATGATGTGAAATTCCGATTATCGCGCGAAACGAGGCGACAAGACACTCAAAGACATCTCTAATGCCACCAAGCCTCAGGAAGCAGGTGGTGCGCATCTGGCTGCCATAACAAGTTGTCAACTGGACGAAACGGTCAGTTTGCAGACCATCCGTTCTTGGATCGTCGGTTCCGACGAGGCATCTTGCATCAGAGGCATCATCGACGGAGGGAATTAACGCATGTTTATTAAAGAAGATCTGGCGAGGCGCATGGGACTGAACATCATTAGACAGACTTGCCTATCGGTAAACACGTTCGATTCTGACACCCCTACTATAGTGTGAAAACTTGCAATATCATGGAGGTACGCCTGTGGAGCCCGTTTGATGACAACGACCACCTCATTGAAACCATAGTCATGCCAGTTATTTGCCACGACATCCCAGTCACGGCTATGGAATGCTCCTTTGCAGCCAACTTACGCAAGCAAAATTACCGGCTGGCAGACGATCAAACTGTACCTCGACAGTGCGGCGAGAAAGGCATTAGCCTACCTATCGGGTCTGACCAACAGTGGAAGCTTGTAAGCGCGACATCATACGAAGCAGGGAAGTACAAGGATTAGTTGTGCTCAAGACCGCTCTCGAATGGACACTGCAAGGCCCCGTCACGGAAACGAGCGTCATGAGTGAAACATCCGGGGTGATGACCTGCGTCCTGCAAACGCAAACTAAAGAAGCCGAAGGTTTACACCGAGACATACTGGAGTCATTTTGGATATTGGATGCCAAAGGAATTGAACTGAAGAAAGGAACGCACAGCCCCGAACGCACCTTGCCAGTTTTCGAGAAAAAGATTGCAAAGAGTGAAAAACGTTACCAAGTTACAAGCTACACCACGAGAGACTACCAGCGCCGTTTTCTACATCGACAAAAATTATCAATGACTTTTGGAAACGATGGAAGAATAAATATTTGCTACAATTACCTGCTGCTCATCGCTCACTCACACATCAATCAAGGAACTTAAAGGTCGGTGACATTGTGATTGTAGACTCTCCTAAAACGCCCAAGTTATTATGGCCACTATCCCGGGTTCAAGAGGTGTACCCAGACTACGACGGAGTTGTACGTGCCTGCTCAATTCATTTGCAGAGAAGAAAGATCTTCAGGCGGCCCGTGCAGAAGCTTCATCTTCTAGAGCTATAGATGTCACCGCATCTGGGGGCCTGGAGGATGTCGAAGATCAGCAGACAACAAAGAAGTGGTGGTGGGCTGCTTTCTCCGCAGCTAGCGCCAAGAAGTGTGTGCCGAAGCTATCATCATCGTCATTAAAGGCATTGGTTGGGTGTGTCTCACGGCTCCGTCTTTCTGGCGGCGCCATACTTATCAAAGACCGGCGTTTCGCGACACCTTTCTGGTCAAATAGTGCTCAAAGTGCGTCCTTCTGATACTAGGCTTTTTTGTGGTAAGCATCAAATTTAAGGTAAATTATATTGCGGGGTAAGTCACCAATACTCGTCTCTGTAAGGTATTTCATCAGAAACAACTATCTTTCTATTCATGATTAACGTGCGTGGATTTCCTTCTCAATTGAAAAGGGTGCGCGCGTCCCGCTCCTCCAGTCCGGCCGTGGAGGTGGCTACCTACTACGACTACTACTAAATACATCGTGGATGCACGACCCACGGCATCGGGAGCTTCGCTCCCAAAAGTGATTTAGAGTACTCGGTACTCTACTATGAGAGAGCTGAAAGCCGTCCCGTGGACCTCACACTTGATGAGGCCGCATCGACAACAATTACGGTAGAGCGGCATCCGCTTTCATTGGTGCGAGTGTGCCGTCCTCGCGCCAATGAAGCCTTGCTGTCCCAATTGTGAGCACTGCGTCATGTGTTCAAAGTGTGACAATGACTTGTTATGTACCCGCTCAAACACGGGTTCGTTTACCCTGTTATTACTCGATGACTTAACCATACAAGCAAATTTCATCAGAGGTTCTGACAGCACGCTTTAGCCGATAATCCCATTTTGCGTTGGAACGAGCAACCTTTAGTTTTCGATGTACGTGGCATTTACAAGTAAAGTACTGTTATCACATGAAAAAAACTCAGAAGCCGAAAGGAAATTCACTCTCTTAGGCATGACTCTCTTAGGTGACTGACGAGCGCGTTGCTGTTGTGCATGTGAAGCTTGTATTTGTTCTTACCAGCTTTAACAGACTATAACACAGTTTCCTGTGCACTTGCTGAACTTACGACCATGGGATTCCTACAAGTGACAATTAACTCGATCAAAGAGGCAAATAGTCAACTCAGAAAGAGCCTAGATAATTTGTGCGCACCCACCTTTGGCAAAGCGGAGGGGATCCAGCTGCAAGAAACCATCGCTGAAGCCGTCCACTTCGGACACACGCTTCAGGTTTCGCCGGGTTTCACAGGCCCTGTCTTCCTCCATAACGCGAAGCATCAGCTGTCGGAAGGAATTCGAGCGCCGAAACAAGCGCATCATGAAGCGACAACCTTGACCTTTGTGTCCCGTTTTATACATCAGATGCAACGCTGCGGAAACTACACAATAAGTTTGGTCACCAAAATGTGCGAGTCCGTGTGTCTCGTGTTTTAATTTCGTCGTTGTAGACGTGGCCTCCGCGATTGGCTTCAGCTGCACACTACTGAAACAATCGCAGATGCCACAGTACGAAAAAAAAAGGCAGAACAACGTATTGAAAACCGTACAAACAATGAATTGTGTCTATTTCGAAGGCACAAAGCATGTCAATTTATTAGTTTCTAAAAATAATCACATTAGGTATAGTAACATCTTTGAACTATTTTTGTTGCAAAAACATCGACTGCGAGAAGTCTCGCTAGCTTCCATAGTGTTGCAACCAATGTATAAAACGGATTATAGTGCCCAGTGTTAGTGATACGGCTCATGGCCGTGACATCGTAAAGCAATTGCTGGTGCTCGTAGACACGCGTGATTGAATTTGTTCTGTGCAATATTTTTATACCATAATGCTGAGTATGTTGTGGCAATTTTGTTTCTATACTATTCTGCCGAAACGTGGCACCACCCTAGCAACGCTTGTTTGCTGTTTTCTTCTCGTCAAACATCTGTTTCAGTGCGTCAATCATATAAAATTGTTACAGAACAACACCTAATCCTGTTCCCAACATTCAACCTGAGCAACTACAGACCTAAACGAGAGCCAAATGAGAACATAGGCAAGATTGGGCAAAAGAAAGCTATCTGGATTACCTGCATTGCTTCGTGAAACACTCAAGGCAGACTTCCTCTACATGAAGATGCAATTCTCGCTGTAAATGCTTAATTGCTACGGTTAGCTTGTTATTTAACGCATGCATGCACTTTTTACTACTAATGGGCCGTTTATTTATTAATTATTTATTTACTTTTTTTAGTTAGTTATTTAGTTAGCTAGTTAGTTCAGTAGTGTGGCTGGCCTCTCATATGAGGCCTCACGGAGGTCTGGGTGATACATAAAATGAAATATTATGGCATACAACAAAACAAATGATTTACCGTTGAAGAGAACCATTCAACACTCTTTTAATTATATTAGACTAAACTTTGCTATAATGTTTTTTTTTTCGAACATTGCGTCGAATGGTTGGAGGTATACATTACTGTCTGCACTCACATCCGAAGAGTTCCTGAGAAAGTCCAAAAGGTTCATCATGTCTTCGCCACTCTGCAAGTGCCGAGTACCACTGTCTATTGGTGTGTCATCTGCTTTTCCTGTGAAAATAGGCAAATGAGAGTTAATGCTGTTAGTTCTTACAAGCTCGTATGCATACAGCACTTTGACGTCACTCCTCCACCATTTTTTTTTCATTTCAGAATATGGGACTGCACATAAAACAAGCGTAGTACCATTTAGGTGAAGCTCAAGTGGCCTTAAGAAAGTAGCATGGTGAGGTAAGATTTATCAATATTCTATTTCTACGTTTGTTCGTGTGTTATTGCAACTATCGATTGCAAACTATGAGCGAAAGTTATAGTTGGAAGTTGTACAATTATGTACCTACTTTGTGCAGAGTGTCATGCTTTCCTGTCATCACCTTGAAGACAGCATTTCTAATTAAATAAATGTGTGCTAGAAAAGGAAGTCGGAAAGTAAATAAAAATAAACTGCCCGGGGGACCTACTGTTATCACATAAGTATTAAAGTACAAAAATATGCATATAGCAACTCAGATAAAAAAAGACGGAAATTACAAATCACTGTACTAGAAGTAAATAATAGCAAAGGAGGTTTAAAGCTATCGAAGAAACTACAAAAAAAAAACGTCATGGACTTGATTAAATATAATTCAAGTGAATGTTGTAGTACATAAGTTTGTTAATAAAGCGTTCAAACTGTCTTAACTATACTGAATGAAGTGAATAAAATTCATGTGGCGTTCGTATTTTCCTCGCGCTGTAAGAGTAACTCAGCGTTAGGTCACGAACTAAGACAAAAAGAACAGGGGACGACAAAGAGAGAGAATGAATCTTGCACTGAACAGCAAAGGGCACGTCGAGGTAAATTAATAAATTGTTTGCACACAGATGCTACATTACCAAAGCAAGAAACCGAAAACCACTTGCATTCATTGTCTGAGACGAAAATCAGTGTATTAAAATCAAGACGAACCATCGAACAGCACAAGCACCGACTGAGTGAGGACAAGAGACACTGCTGCTGCTACTTCCATGATTAACATAAAACAGTGCTTTACACGCCGGAAAGACGAATGGACGCACACGACACCGTGTGTGTCCCTGTTTCAGGGCCCCTTTTTAGGACCCCTTTCAAGCCATGGGGCAAGCATCTGTCGCGAGGGATCGCACCAGCAACCTCCCGATCCTTAGCACGCGGCGCTAACCACTTCGCCACAAAATGTGCGTTGCGTAGAATGCTAACGGCAAGCCATTGATATACACCATACGCCGTTTGGCAGTCGTCAGAGCTTCGAAACTTTAGCGCGTTTTAGATGCGGAGCATCTTATACTCGCGCCTTGTAGTGCGCCGTCCGCGCCGTCCGCGCCGTCCGCACCGCTTCTCGAACATTCGACAGCTGACGCGCGCGCATGCGCCGTCGCGCCGTCGCCCACTCTTCCACCATCTGTGCATCCCTTCCTCCTCTACACACCGCGCGCGCTTCACTCCTCCACCATCTGTGCACCCTTCCTCCTCTACACACCGCGTTCGACATCTACAATTCTCCTGATTCTCCAGTGGACGCGCATGTGGCGTCGCGCTTCGAGAACATTCAACAGCTGACAGTGCATGCGCCGTCGTGCTGTATATATACTCAAGGTCGGCGCTCGCTCGCTCAGTTGCCGCTCGTCGGTTGGTTTGTACGGCGCGTCGACGTCCAAGGTCGCGGTGAAATGAATTCCAACGAATCCACAAACACAATGATCGACGTCCCTTCGACCAGCGCCGCCCTTTCGCATACGTGTGTACGTGTTCACTCATTTAACACCCCCTCCTACAACCACGTCAACCAATTTAGCCATCGACCCAAGTAAGTCGCAATTTAAACACCCCATTTAACAACCACGTTAACCAATTTAGCCATCGACCCAAGTAAGTCGCACTTTAACACCCCGTTAACCAATTATATGGTCCGCATCCTCCTCAGTGTTCCCCCGAGGGAAGCTGCGGGCAATTTTTTGTATCAGCGGCCAGATGGCGCGATGGGCTCGCGTTGGGCAAGCTATAAAGATCGTCGCCTCCACGAAGCGCCGCCTCCTTGCAGCGTGGTCTCTCATGCGCGCGCGCTTGTCAGACACGTAATTATGGGAGGGCGAAGGTCACTTCGCACGCTGCCCCGACCATGTTTGCGAGAGGAGCGCACTGTTGAACATGACGCATGAAGAGTTGAGACAGCTGTTTGCGCTTGTACACTTGTGCGCTCTTTCCTGCGTCTCTCTTTCTGCTTGAACAGCGCGCTTTAAAAGGACACTAAGTGAAGTAATAATTTATGTCAGAGTGAAAGCTCAATATATGACAACGTCTAAAACGACAATATTATAGACAGCAGCACCGTATACGTACCGAGAAATTGGGGTAAATGCACAAGAATGCATAAGCCGCAGTAGGAAATTTTCAAAATGATCCCGATGACGTCAGGCGAACCACCTACAATTAATCACTAGTAGTTCAACTAGCTGCCCTAAATAAAGGACCTTCCATGCATCAAGAGACGCAATAAAGTGCTGCTTGTTCGTTTATTTTTAATTCGTGGGAAAAAGAAGATTCGGACGTTTACTGGAATGGCGAGAGTGGTTCAGAAATGAAATTTTAGCCGGGGTTGGATGGATGGATGGATGTATATGACTGTAAACGGATGGATGGATGGATGGGGTAAACTAGACAGATCGCGCCATCTAGCGGAGCCCATTTGAGCCAAGCACGCCTTCAATCGGCCATGGATAAACATTGTTCAATCAGTCGTTGCTGCTGTGGATCCCGCTACTTCTGCTTTGCTGCTACTAGTGTCAGAGGCCGAGAAGCAAAGCCGGGCCACGATGTGCACGGCAACAGTGATGACAGACGTTCCGTTGAGGCGGGAAGTTGTGAGTGCGCTAACGCGATGCAGACTACTATACCGTGATTTTGTATCAAAATAAGCCCTTCCTTGGCCCAAAAGTAACACTGCGAGGTTTCGGGACCGCTATTTCAACAACCAACGCCGACCTAATAGTTGCCTTTTGTTCCTTTGGGTGTCGAGCTGTAACAGTTGTTAGTCCACGCTCGTCCAGTGTATTGTAATTTCGTGCATGCTTTCTAATTGGAGTGTGCACTTCATGTTTCGAGCTGCTTGCCGTTCCTAACGTGGCTTTGCAACTTTTTCTGTTGTTGAACCAACGCCCAATAAATGCTCAACAACCTCTGTATATACACGTTTCACTTTCATGTTATACCGATTTCTACATAGAAGGATCCTGCAGCCACGTTTTTCTGAATTGGTCATGAGCTGTACAGATGTGTCTGATCTCAAACGTTTTTTTACACGATAGTCTATACTGCCATACTTCAACGCAAAAAAATTTGGTCTGTCCGTCTGTCGACTTGTCTGTTTGTTGACAGAATGGACTTGTGTTTTTTTATTTTTAATGTTTGCCTTTAATGCTCAAATACAACCACATCCGCAACACCCACCTATATTGCTCTGGTTTCAGCGTTCACACTTGTGCGTAGTATCGATTAATAAGCAAATGTTGCGCATATCCGAGGCATAAAATTACCACGTAAATATACTATGGCGTATTTCTTTAAACTATAGAAATCATACATAAGTGATTCTAAGGAACATAGCATTTATTACGCTAGACTGACATGCAACGCTTTGCACGAAAAGGCGGGTGTTTCCTGCGCTTAGTGGTGGCACCTACCCACTGCGCGCATCGAAGCACTTCAACGCAGCGCCTCCAGAATCCCAATCATCGACTTTCTTGCGCCGAACATCGACTAAATGCTTCATGCACTGTCTCCAGACGGAAGACTATCGTCGTTCGACGACATTTGCCGTAAAACAAGCAGATACGTGACCTTTTTTTTTTTTGCGATTAACTACTGCTTTACTGGCCGCAACGGCGACAACAACGCTGACAAGAAGGCAAACATGCGAGACCACAGCTAGCGTAAGTAATCCTGAAATGCCTCCACGCTGGATCTGATTTTTTTTTCAGAGCTCGGCTGCCTGCCGAAGTAGATTTACTTTTAAGCTGCACGATAAGAAGTACCGTTGAAAGAAAATTCAGTTTCATTTAAGGGAGAGACTGCTGCGCCGCGCGGCGCACGAGCCATCCCCACACAGAAACGGCTGCTGCGCCACACATAAGTGACGTCATGCACTTTTCTTGTTAGGCGCTTCGTTTGAATAGTCGGAGTGTCTAGCGGTACGTCTAGACGTAAAGATAGAAGCCGTAAAGTTACGTCCAAACGCAAAAGTAAAAAAGAAAATGTTAGTTAGGTCCAGCATGACAACAATACAAAACCGGCTTGTTAATCTTTCCCTACAGATTGGCAGTTGTGGCGTAGTCGGTTAGAGTGACACATGAAGAACTGGTGAGGTTGGTGGTTCATGCTCCATTGCAGTCTTTGTTACATTCTCTTTTTTTTTGTTCGCGTATGTATTGTTTTAACATTTGCGCCTCCTCATCGGCCTCCTGTCAGCCAGACTTGCTGCTGGTGGTGGCCCTGTCCACAGGCAAGGCCTTTAATATTGGATGTTTGACGACTCTCGCAGAATTGACTATATTTATTATGATAAAGTGTTTTGCGAATTAGTGCTCTTAATCGGCGAGACGCAAAAAGACACGAGAAACTCGAATGCAGCTGGCTGCATTGGTTTCTCCAGCACAGTTGTCTGGAATGTTGATATCCACGGTTTTATCAAAGTTTTGATAACAGAAAGGCGCACTGCAACGTAGTCTCGGGAAACATATTTTATGTCGCTCAGTGTACCATCACCTGACGTGGTAACCAGGAGATCACTTCAAAATACTGACGCGCCCCCGCAATGGTCTAGGCGATCAGCACTTGATAAATGATATCCATTGAGGGCAAGTGCCGACTGCGTTGGCCCCTCTATCTACAATACAGCTTGTCTGCCTTGCCGAATAACACGCAAGGCCAGTGACAGCACGGGAGCATTTACGTAGCAATGGATGAGAACGGCCGTACGTGTTCGCACTTAGCAAAACAGCCGGCAATGCAGTAGCTTTGGCCTTCAAAGATGATAGACTTCGTGAGAACACTACAATAAAGTTGTTTCCATCCATCGTAAGAACACTTCGCAGACGCTCTGAGGTTTCATGCATGTGCTTCCGGTCAGTCACACGTGAGCTGTGCAAAAACATTTATTTTGCTCGTCGACCTTGTCCTTCGCGACAAGCAAAACTCGGCAGCAAGAACACTTTCACCTTTGACAACACCACGCTTGGCATTGCAATTTAGAAAATGCAGTACGTCCAACAACAATAATCTGCACTTCCTACTGATAGACTTTATGGCACACACACTGAGATGAAGCTGCGGCGCGGTGGATGGCCGCGCTAGCTCCAACCACCAGGTTCAACTGGGCATCCAGCTATCACATGAAGCAGCGACGACACAGGGTCTCAGGTCCTCCTTGGGGGCGGCCTAACCATGGCCACGACTTTGTCAGAGTTTTCACCACCTACACACATCGCAGGCAGCTACCCCAGAACACCTATATACTACCATTGCAGCTACCATCTGGCAGTGTTTACCTTTTGCAGCCGGAGCATCCATGGCGCCCCCTGTATTTAAAATACTTGTGATATATGTTTAATTCAAAAATATAAGCTGATTGAGTCGTCAAATACCTGCTTAGTAAAATTTCTCTAGTTTTACCACATTACACATTAATAATTTATATATTTAAATAGCTTTAGGTTATAATTTTAAAGTGACGTCACTTTCGTGCGGCGCAGGAGCCACTTCTGTGTGGGGCTGGCTGCTGCGCCGCGCGGCGCAGGAGACGCTGCCTTCATTTTATCCTTTATTTAAAAGTGATTTGTACAAAGAATACTATGGCGTAATACGTTTCCTTTATCAAGCAAGGGAAAGGTCGAAACAAATAAAGTGTTTTTTTAGGGGCGAAAATTTTTAGGGTGTGGGTCGTTTTCTCCTTTTCCTCTGTAATAGTAGTAGTACCAGAAGGAGGAGGAGGAGTATGTAGCCACTTCTAGTTAGTTTTGAGAAGTTCACACTCTATGGCATTGTGCGTATATGTCCTTGGAAATAATATTACTAGATGGCGTGAGCGGTTTTCGATTAGTTGACGATTTCGTATAGTAGACAGACAGACAGACAGACAGACAGACAGACAGACAGACAGACAGACAGACAGACAGACAGACAGACAGACAGACAGACAGACAGACAGACAGACAGACAGACAGACAGACAGACAGATGGACGGACGCTTCACCCCACTCATCATCATTCACTCCGTGGATATGCTGTGTATCACTTCGCTTAAAAGAGAGTTAACGACTTGTGTTCTTACCTCCGCCGAAACCCTTGTAGTCGTGAGGAGGCTGCTGAGTCCATCTGTCGTCATATTCGATGGTCTCAGTTTGGCACTCTTCTTCATCACCTAAATCAGTTTGGATCAACACCTGCGCGAGTGAGAACGAGTGATTCATCACTTTAGGCAGCGCAAAAAATGAGCAAGGACAGGTACGAAGATTGCAAGGCGCGAGCGCCTATTTCAAGTAAAAGTTTATGGCGAGCGAGGAGCATTCTTTAAAAATTTTCTCGATTGCGAGACGTCCCCAAATATACAGCGACAAGATAAACGAAACAATGCAAACAGGCCCACATGCCATGCTAAACAGTGATCAATTACTGCCCCGCCGCGGTGGTCTAGTGGCTAAGGTACTCGGCTGCTGACCCGCAGGTCACGGGCTCGAATCCCGGCTCCAGCGGCTGCATTTCTGATGGAGGCGGAAATGTTGTATGTAGGCCCGTGTGTTCCGATTTGAGTGCACGTTAAACAACCCCAAGTGGTCGAAATTTCTGGAGCCCTCTACTACGGCGTCTTTCATAATCATATGGTGCTTTTGGGACGTTAAACTTCACATATCAATTAATCAGTGATCAATGATTTGTATTGACCTACCCATCGACATACCAAAGTTGTTCTTTTCAGTAAGTGAGGGCATTGAATGCGCGTATACGCCATTTATTACACTTACCAAAAAGTACTTCGCTATCTTTGAGGGTTGCTCGATAAAAAAGGTTTAATGATAATCAGCATGTCACGTGAGCTTATTCGTTTCATTTCTGCCGCCTCGTGCAACAGCGTACATCGCCAGAGATCTTCTGATGAAGTATGCTGCTGCCGTGAGTCCTCTTTGTATCAGTCCTTAGTAAAGCTTAGCTGTTTTAGGCGTCTTCCTCCTTGAGCTATTTTGAGGTCGCGGGATCGAATACCGACTGTGGCGGCTGCATTTTCATTGTAGGCAAAAATGCTGTAGTCCTGTGTGCGCTGACGTGGGTGCAAGTTAAAAGACCCTAAGTCGGCGAAATTTCCGGATCCCTCTACTACGGCATCTCTCATAATCATATGATGGTGTTTGGACGTTAAACCGGCATATCAATAAATCCTTCAGCTACTTGATGTAAGCAACTATACTTATGGCTTCCATAGTTGTATACGAAGAACTCGAAATCGTTAAGCACTTTTTTCTAAACACATGCACAACGTAGGCTAATTTTCGTCATCGTTGGCAGTGCAGTACGTAGTGGGATCCCATTTCACGTCGTGAACTCGTTCATGACATATTTATTGTCAACACGGCCACATTGTGTAAACACGGCCACAAGTTTGAGGCCCACGGCACGGCTTTATGTTCTCCCATAGTAGAGTTCCAAGTACTCTAAATCATTAACCACTTTTTCTAACCATCTCCCCCGCCTTCAGATAGAGAGCGTTTAGTGATCTAAATCGGTCATAATTTATGTAAACACATTGTATGAACTGTGAACAACATTAGATATTGTTACGCACAAGGAGGACGTCCTGGTCCTCCTTGTGCGTAAGAATATTTTATTTCTTCTTCTTTAATTTGTAACATTCGAATACACAGAAATGAATTGATGTTTTAGGGCTCATTTGTAAGATGTTTACACCGTTTTTACTAGCTTTCCTTGTTTCGTTTGTTTATGTACAAGTTACGCGTACAGTAGAAACTCTCTTCTTGAAGCAGCCAGACAGAGTTATTAGTTGAGAATGAGTGAATGTAACACCATTGCATGCACAGCATTACTGAAGCGTATATACCTCTGATGTCTGGCTCGATACTTGTCTTTCATTTTTCATTTAGTTCCTCAACGTGTTAATTATGCTCCTCTCAAAGTGCGACCTTTCCTTTTCTTTATTAATTGCGTTTTCTTCAGTTATATTTTCACGTTTGTTGAGTTCACTTCACGCTAGTCGCGTCTCGAAGGACTACTGATGAATTCTGACCAACGAACCAACTTCTGGAGCGCAAGCGTATCTTCTTCAGCAGTAATTTCAGCTGTATTATACAGTTCAACTTACCAACACAGCGAAGACTTTTCTTTTTTTATTTAGGCTCCTCATACTCGTCACTTTACCTGTTTTGCGTCAGCCCGGCCAAATGTGGAGATGTAAACGTCGTAGGTGATTGGTGGAACGTCGAACACCTGGTACGTCATGGTGTCCAGGGAGACCATCTCCAAGACGTCCTTAGCCCGCTGTCTGGAGTGCGGTGTTGAAAACAGTGCGTCATCCGAGCACTCAAAATGTTTTGTGCTATTTATAGCAGCCGAGCCATTCCACAATGATCTCACAAATTCCAAGTAATCGGTTTCATTGAATGATTGTTCGCGTCTAAAATCTCTTCTCTAACGCAAATAATGTCTTAAACTGTCTGATAGCTTACTGCAGCCTCACGCCATCTTTTGTCCCTAAGCATTATTTCGGGTTGGCTGAAATTTGTAGCTCCCATGAGCAAGCAGTCGTAACAATCTTAAGCATGCGTTTGAACTTTGTACCTTTGTCTTAAGGGCTAAATCATGGGGCTGCTGCGACTAGAGGGCACTGGTTGATGCTCTACACAATCAAAGATGAATGTCAGTTTCATTATTACTATTTTGCATTATTATTAGTGTCATCTCAAACCATACTTTGGAAGAACCCTACAAACACTACCGAACCACGGGAAGCAGCATAGGCGTGTGCGCGGGGGAGAGCAAGGGGCGGTGGCTGCCCCCCCCCCCCCCCCAGACAGCAACAATGTGGTGGGGGCACTGGGGGCACAGTGTTTGCACCATACATTGGCATAAAAGGAAGGGGGGCGCTTCGACACACTCTCGTACCGTCCCCGCCCCCCCCCCCCCTATGAAGGGGGTGTGTGTGTACGAAGGTGTGACGAAGCGCTGTGCAAGCCTAGGGCAGGCAGGTAAGGAAAAGAGCCCATACGGGGATTCTGATGAACCTTGGTATTCTACCGAGCACACGCATGTCACCGTGCAGAGTACACGGTGCCCAAGGATGCGTCGCAAAGAGCGGGGATAAAGCGGCACGCCGTATCTCTGCTTACTGTGTCACGTGGTATACCCATATAACCGAACTACGACGTCTGTGATTCATTGCTTACAAATAACGGTATATGCGTCAAGAACAAAAAGCTTATTTCAAATTGTTCATATTAGGCTGGATGAATTTAACAGTGAACTCGATAACTTGATTATATTCCGCACCTCTGACAAGCTACCATGCAGATAGAAAGATAAATGCTCGAATATGTTTGACGTTATTATTCAAAAAAGCTAAGCTTGAGTAAGACTTGTTATTGGGCGAGTTAGTTAACGTAAATGAGGTACATTGTAGTGCAAACTCGAAAAAACAGAGATCAAAGAAAAGAATATAGCAGGGAGTCGGACAATCGGGCTTCCGACCTTTCTGGTGGTGGTGAACAACGCTATTCAGACCAGCGGATTGAGGCGTGGGCCTAAACCGCACCAGGGCTGGTTGAGTTTCCTTGTCTCCCAGGCGCCTCCCATGCTCGCTGGATGTCTTATATCTGATCTTCTCTATCTGAGCTGATCAGCGCGGCTTTTCACTATGCCTCCTACTTCTTTTCTAAGTTTTCGGAACTATGTACCACATTGAAAAAAGCTCCATCCGCCTTAAAGCCCACATGCTGAACATGCGGGGCAACGTACTGAGCTTTGCTGAGCACTTTCTTCTCTTGCTCCTTCCTCTGCGCCGTCAGGTAGCTGACCAGGCTGTACGTCGAGAAGGACGTTGGCATCAACGGGGCGGGAGGCTTCGCTTCCACCTCGAGGACGGGCTCGGATTTCCACTGGGACTTCAGATTCCGCTGCAAGAGTTACCACAACCGTTAAAAGCCATGTCCGATCTCGCCTTACTAAAAGCAGAGTAAATCATGGGAGATGGGCGTAAGTTGGTCACGATTCTTTTTGTATTTAGGCGGGGGGGGGGGGGAGGCACCACTGTAAGTCCCCTCCCCGTTGAGGTTTGTCTTTAGATATAATATAGCGTTGTGGCTTTGCTACAAGAATGCATATCGATGTATTAAGAAGTCATTAATCATATTTTACAACATATTTTTAGAATTCATCATGCACCACACAAATACCGACGTCTATAAATTTAATCACTGTCAGTACTGTGTCACCAGAGCCCCTCTTGACCATATCCTATGGGAACGCCCAGCATTAATAGGAAAGTATGTGGTCATGGAAATTATGTGGTCGAGAAATTGTGTGGTCACGGCAAAACTGGTATGGTATGGCATGATTGCATGGAAAACACAAGTGTCTGACTTTCGGGCGCATCGGCGGACCGCGCTGCTCAGTTCGGACCTGGACAAGCAACTCTGGGCGATCCAGCAGGCCAAGGAAGCAGCCGGGGGACACGGTCTCTCCGTTGGCTCCTAGGTGGGAACCCAGCCCAGCAATCAGCCGGAAATCAATAAAATTTGTCTCTCTCTTTCAATATTTAAGCATCTGTTTCTTTTGTTGTAAGAGCTGCGTTCGATAGAATAAACTTGGTAAGACTGTATTAAAACTGAAACTGACTTTCGTATGTGTGAATACATGCTCGATTTTTAATTATGAAAACTTGATTTAAATTTTTTGTTGTTAATAATAAGACCCGTGTTTAAAAAACAACATGGTCACCATACAAAGACCTGCATTTTTTCTTGATTTGCGCCCCTGCCTAGCAATTACAACAGAATCGAAAGTTGGGCTAGTTGGATATGCATAGTTGCGAGAAAGCGCTTGTCCTCTCTTCCTTTTTGTTTATTCGTGTGCTTAAACTGACAGTTATACTAGCAATTACACTTCACCTCCGTATTGACCACGCTGTACTCCTTCGCCAGCAGTAGGTCGCTTGTCGGTTGGAGTGCTTCCTTGCCGGAGGGCACCTCATTGTTTCCACTTGCGGAGGCGATGTCGCTGCTGCTGCTGCTGCTGCTGCTGCTGCTGCTGCTGTCCCTGAAGGCACTGCTCGGACTGCTCTCGTCATCAACGTCATCGTCATTCTCAAAGTCAGACTCGTAATCCTGAAACGAGTTAAATATAAAGGACTGATTGATAATTAGTTCTAGATGGATTGCCTCGCGGCGTCTGCTTATTTATGTTTTCTCGCTTACGTATACCAGTCGGTGGATTAAGAAGAAAAATGAAGTGGTAAGGAGGAAATGCAAAAAAAAATTAATAGATTGTTCACATTTCCTGACCAACACGCGTTCTGTGCCCCAAGCGCGTATGAAAAAGCATGTCTCCTGAATTATTGTTAAAAGCAATGATCTTAAAGCTCGAGGTAAAATGTCAGGTGTCTGCAGAAAATCTTCCACGGCATTGCTTATCAGCCGCGCCCACTAATGGAGACATTCGGCGCAGCCGCCCCGCCGAGTTTGCGTTCCTCGCTAGCCGAGTACGAGCGGCGAGAGGCCCGCACTCCTAAGCCTACTTTGTACGTTAATTAATCCACAGGAGTTTAGACATTCTTGCATAAGTTCTGTGTGTTTAGAAAAAATCTTTGACGATTTCGAGTACTTCGTACTCAGCTATGGAAGAGCACTGAGCCGTCCCGCTAAAAGAATAAAACTCCTGAGATGCTGTTGTCCTACTTTATTTGGTATAAGCCAAGGAAGGGTCTAGCATAAGCGAAGTAGGCCTCGTTGAACCACTATAGATCAACCAGCTTCGAGCTTTACACGGCGATTGTAAGCTTCTGTCTTCTTTAATGCGATTCGAAAACTTCACGCAGCCTGCGGTATGTAAGCTTTCTGTCTAACTTCTATCATGGCAACTTCAGTAGCTGGGTGCGTGCCACTTTCCCGAGAATCATATAGAACGTTTATTGTGGTCGGAATATAGAACCCGCCTGCTTGTGTCTCTGCTAGATGGTGCAATAGAGGCGAGCGCGATGATTGAGAAGGGGGAGAAAAGATCCAAGCTACGTGTATACAGTACACGCCTCGGATATACGAAAGCTTTGAATACTGTCAATTTCTGCATTATTTTATTGTTACCGCATCGCCATGGATATTAATCGTTGTATCACTCAGTGTGCAGGATTTTTTTAGTGTTTTTTTTTAGGTGACAAGCAGGAGTATTTGTAAATTAAGGTCACGTATTTTCGTATTTCTTCGGATGTTGCACGTTTTCTTGCACCACTGATATAACCGATGCAGCTCGTTGCTTACTTTTCCGTCGACACAAACCACCACATGCCTAGAGGGTAGGAAGAAGTTGAATAAAGTAAATAACCAAGCAACCTGCAATGTCCATCGTACCTGACACCGTTCTTGTTAGTGAATCCCGATTTCCCAGATATTATTCACTTCGAGATTCCATGAAAATTAGGTTACGAGTTCAAGAATATGGTCACCTTACTTTTTCTTGGAATAATAAATGATGCCCCGCTCGTAAATTGGAAGTACGTTCACAAAATATTGTTGCCGAATGGTGCCTCCTAATTTTCATTTATACAGGTCTTATCAGGAGCCATCTCCGCTCTGCTTTTACTGTCAACAGCCTAAAAACATCGACCATTTTTTACTCACAAGCTGACGTTTCATCAGAAATAGAAAAAAAGTTAGAAATATTATTAAGAAAATTAGGCATTACTCTTAATTCTGAAAACAACCTTTCTCTTCGGTCTTCTCAGGGCCACAGCAACAGGAACGTCTGAATAGCAGTCTGCGAATTCCTCAGAGACACGAGAAGATTTTCTTGTTAGGTTATACCTAATGGAACACAAGCTTTTTTTTTCAAATTCAGGTAATAATTTCTATTACAATTGTGTATCTACTGTTATCTTACGTGAATTTAGGATTTTTAAATTTCATATTGCCTAGATATCTGTTTTATTCAGTTTCGTTATTCAAATTTGAAATTATTTATCCTTAATATAAAAATTCGGCAGATCCCACATACCTGGGTATCGACGTTATGCGAAGCATGGGGAGGAAATGTGACCGCGTTGCAATTTTTTTATTCAGCGACATGTCATGAAATGACGCTAAATATTTGTACAAATGTTGCACGCACAGAGATATGTTGAAGAGCTGTAGATGTTTATATTACCAAGTGTTAGCACTTGCGCAACGATGCCAGCTGGAACATGCGTATTAGCGACACCACAAGCTGATAAGAAGCGCTGATGCTGGCGAAGATGCTGGCCCTAGACACTGCTACATAAATCAACTTCAGTGCATAGCAACTAACTACAAGCTGTATAAAAGCAGTACATATGTAATGTTCATAAAATTCGGTAAACAGCATTGCAACCACCATTACCGGTTCACAACGATTAGCGTCTGTTTGAAAAGTAGTTCCGAGACCTGGCGTAGCTCCGTGAAATAATGCTTCATTGCCCCGCAGAATACTTGGGTTCGATTCCAGCTGAGACGCTGACATTGGATACCGATGTCGGGTATTTTTTAACGCTCGCGCGTTAAAACTGCCCATGTGTGTTCTCGTCGTTCGTGGGTAGATACTAAGTGTGAATCATTTGCGGCACATACCCGCATACCAGTGGCACATACCCGCCCGTGGGTATGTGCCACTGTCTGGCGGAAAGTGTTTGACAACGTACGCGAAGGGATTGTGACATTATTCATGTGTTGACTAGCGCGTCATATTCGTCAAACCATCTTACCCTCCCATGCTAATTTTGGTTCACGCCAAGTTTACGGGGTGACAACGAGAGCACCCCAACATAAGTGGCTAGATAGATAGATAGATAGATAGATAGATAGATAGATAGATAGATAGATAGATAGATAGATAGATAGATAGATAGATACGCTCAAAGTCGCTGAAGTTCGTTAAGAAATGCTTCGCATTTAATAACCTCTGGTTTAATGGCCAATCCCTCGTAGGGGGTACGACCCAAACAGCCTCAAGCAAGAAAGCAAGCAACCAAGCCATCACGTGTGCCCACCTCAAAATCATCGTCGTAGTTGTCGTCCACGACAGAAGAATGCCTCGTCCTGGAAGTTTCTGTCTTCGAGGAATCTGGTATAATCTGAAAAATAGAGTCGCTGTGGCTGAAGGACGTGACTGAACACTGGAATAGGACGCATAGCACGAATTGTGCCAGTGTTGTGTTGTCGTTGAATACTTGGACAGGACGCAGTTTGTGTAACTAACTACTCACCTTTTCTACGGAATGCGACGTCGAAGCTACTCTGTAACAAACAAAAAACAAACAATATTTGATTATATAGAGGTCCGAAACTTGTTCTATGCATCCTTATTCCCCAAACACATAGTTATAGTCATAAAAGAAACTGCTTAGCCCAAGAAGACACCATATAGAATAGTAGCAGCAGTATTAGTAGTCGTAATAATAATAATATAATATTAATAATAATAATAGACTTGTCCATGGTTCCTGGTTAGGTAAAAGTTCTTGAAATGCAACACCGTTGTGCCAATCAGCCGTCATTATAATAAACAAAAATGCTGCCCGCATCTTCCCACGGGGGGGGGGGGGACTCGAGTACATGTATTGCAGAATGTTGTGGGGGGGGGGGGGGGGTCGACAGTTTTGCGGCTGTGTTCGTAAGCTTCGCGCGGCACGTGAGCATGCTCGTCACTGCACGAGACGCAATCATACGGCACGAGACGCGAGACGCGATCATGCGCAGTGGAGGTGTGGACGGCATCACCGCCGAAGCAGCCGAAGTGCGACTCCGACCGACCGACCGACCGACCGAATAAGTTTATTTGGTACTGAGGAGGCGATGACCCCCTATGTGGCGCCGTCTGCGGGTCGCGCTCATGACGGGACCGGGAGGTTAAACTCGACGGCCATGTCATGAGCCCTCTGGACGGCCCGAAGTTGGACGTCCTCGTGGGGACTTGTGAGGAGAGCATTCCAGTCCTTTTCTGTGATTGGAGACCTGTCGTCCGCGCGCCACTCGGGGCATTGCCACATAATATGTTGTAAGTTGCCTCGCGAGATGCCACATTGGAGCCACCCCGACCTTGTTTCGCTTATGAATCCCGCATAAACTGCCGGTGAGGGATATGCTACTGTTTGTAATAATAATATATATAATAATAATAATAATAATAATAATAATAATAATAATAATAATAATAATAATAATAATAATAATAATAATAATAATGTTATTATTATTATTAAGACAAGAACAAGAAAGCAGAGAGTTTGTCCTGAGTGGGTATGAGCCTTGTTTGAGGTTTCTTCATCATCATCATCACTTTTGCCCTCACTGCGACAGGCCAAGCCTGCTACCGCAAACAGCCTAATATCAGACATTGATACTTACGCATTGTCATCGTTCTGTTTTATTTCCATGGCAACCTCCACGTTCCTCGACGTTTCCTTCGAGCCAGCCTGCGAACGCCCGCTCCAGTTCGAAGACAAAAAGAAACAAGCTGCTACGATAACTTAAGCGTGTAGTGCAACTATTAACAATGTGTTAAAACTGCAAACACACATGCTCACGTCTGTACAGTGGTGCACGGTCATATTGTTTGGGAATGTGGAGCAGAGACGCCAATTCCTCGAATCCTATTTACGTAAACCCTTCATGCGCTACAGGAGAATCTGGCGAAGCTCACGCAAATACAACATCAACCCTGGTTATGCGACGTAAACGAACGGCCAGAACAAAACTAATCGCACAAAGTCTTGCACGTTGTACATAACCTCGGAGAAACATGTTCATAACCTTGATGAAACATGAACGGCAAGCTCACCTGTTGAAACTTCTCCTTGGAATAGGTGCCTTGCCTCGTGACCGCTGAATGTTTTTTAGATACCGTAGTGGTCGCTTTGGGCAGGGGAAAAAAAAAAGGCAAATACCTGTTTCACTTTGCACACTTGAGCGCATGCTCAGTATTTAATTATTAAACAGTAAAGTACCTCGAGAATAAGTGCACGCTTGACACATTCAAATGAAAAAAGAAAGAAAAAAAGAAAGAAAGAAAGAAAGAAAGAAACCAAGAAAGAAAGAGAGAAAGCAAGAAAGAAAGAAAGAAAGAAAGAAAGAAAGAAAGAAAGAAAGAAAGAAAGAAAGAAAGAAAGAAAGAAAAGAAACCGCGTCAGGTTGTTGTTTTTTTTATCTTAAGGAGGTGTTCATTTTCCCCTTACACAAAGGCTTTTTTTTTTTTTCGACGCAAGCAAATACAAATACGGTTATTAACGATGATCTGGGTAAGCGTTACGCAATGAACAGAAATCTCTAACACATCAAAACGGGGATTTAAATTGCTACTAAGTTCTATAGGGAAGTTTAATGCCATGAGTGAACGTAATAAAGATTAACAACATAGCAAATAATTGCGCCATCGCTCGCAATATACCCACGTGGCCGAGGCTGGCTGTCCTTGCTCTTCTCCGAAACAGCATCGTTTTGTGGCGCAGCTTTTGACGTCTTGTGGGATGTGCCCGCCTTGTCGTAGGGACTCCTGTGTTCTTTCTTGTGTTCCTCTGCTTTTTCAGCTTTGCCGACGTGCGAGGACCGTGTTGTGCCGGTTGCCGCTGGCGATGAACCTGCGAGGTACGGCGTCCACTATCCTTCATGACTTGCCACATTAGGTGTCGTCATGCTCAGAGATGGGCCCTGTTCACAGGTGGGAGGGGTGGGGGGTACCTCAATGTGCCGAGGCGAAAAGATAACATGCTTCTGAATGCAGAAAAAAAAGATTAATTGATTGATTGATATGCGGGGTATAACTTCCCAAAACCACCTTATGATTATGAGAGACGCCGTAGTGGAGGGTTCCGGAAATTTTGACCACCTGGGGTTCTTTAACGTGCACCCAAATCTGAGCACACGGGCCTACAACATTTCCGCCTCCATCGGGAAAAAAAGAGAATGATGTAATGACACAGTGGTCACAATGACTTGCTGGTTCTGAACTAGGTAAACAGTTCTTGGAATGCAACATCATTTTTCCTTCGGCTCTCATTGTGCTTTCGGTTCTCAGAGTGAAAAAGAATGTTTCCCGCATCTTGGCACAGGGGAAGCTCGAATAAGTGCGTCGCAGAGTGGAGGTGGGGGGGGGGGGGGGGGGGGGAGGGTATCGCCTGAATATTGTGTGATTAGTATGGTTTGAGAATGCTTAATTGTTATTTCGTCTTTATCATTATTTTTTATTGAAGGTAGGAGAAGCGTTGCATTCAGCGTCAAGTGAAAGCCAAGTAAAGACGCCCTTGACTGAATTCCTAACGCATGATCCATAATGGTTGCGAAACGCGAGACGCCGTTTTTTTTTTTTTTTTTGCTAGCAGGTGCTGCTGCGTTGGTCTTGCGAGGCGAGAGAGGGGGAGGGGAGCGAGAGTTTTCCGGGTGTGTCCCTTCAGCTTGGCACGACACGTGAGCATGCGCTTTACTGCACGATACGCGATACTGTGGCACGAGATGTGACCATGCACAGTGGGGTTGTTGACGGCGTCACCACCGAGGCCGAAGCGCGACATCGGGCGACAAAGAAATGCTCCGCACTTAAAATCCAAGTGGCCACAACCCTTTGACAAATTGTGGCACCGGCTCGACCGAGTAAAAGTATGGCGCAGACTTCGCGCTCCCCTGTTAGATGATTAGCGGTAGACGCACTTAGGGCCCGTTCAACCAATCACACTCTCCCTGACATTGGTGGCAGGTAACTCGGAGAGACACGCGAGGCACCAGGCCTCAGAAAATGTATGTAGGGAAGCACCACAGTGATAACTTTCCGTAGCCAAAACTGCAGAACCTGAATTGACGACGTCATTCTTTCGCCGTTGAACGTTGCCGATTTTCTGTGGCAATGATGTCTTCAGCATCAGTATTCACTAATGCTTTATTTTAAAGCAATTCTTACGTAAGACGTTGTTGTGAATGCACAGACCACGATGTGCATGACTCATGAAGGGAGAAAAGATTCGTCAACCCGGGGGGTCGCTGGAGAATCTAGCGACACCCCATACTGACGAATTCTTATTCCCTTCACACTTTCACATCACTGCTAACTTGCATAAGCATGAAACTATTTACCACAAATACGCGAAAGAGCACCAGTAGATAAAACCATCTTTCATTTAACCACGTTTAGGTCATTAGCACAGGCGGCTATCCCAGGAGACATAGTAGACTTTTGTTTGAACTGGCATGGTGGATAGACGTGTTTTGCGAGGGCTCCCGATCTACTGCGCAGATAAGTGTTTTCGCAGGTTTCGAACTTGCTTTTACAATCCTTAAGGTAGTAGTGTAAATATTTACAGCAGTTATTACAGTATACGGCTTTTTTTTCGGGGGAGGGGGAGGGGGGGTCAGTCACTTGGTATTTACTTGTTTGCGTGTGCTTTTTTATCCTGCCACCCCTTGGTAAGGGTGTACGTACACCGAACACGCATATTTTTGTAGAAGAGCTTAGTCTTTTTTATGCTTAGGGCAGGGTTCGTCGTACGCCATGTCTCGTCATTACCAAATGGGACAATTCAGCAGGACAATTGGTGCCACAAAGACATGGTTACAAAGACTGTAAAATGTTCAGGATGTGGGCTGGAGGCAAGTGCGGACGCGAAAGCAGAAGAGGCTGACGTCAAGAGTAACCAAAGTGAGGTCCAATAAAAAATGCGGAAAATAATGGTTGCCCAGAGTGAACTGCTCATGAGAATCGCCGAGCTGGAGACTGCGTTGGCGACAGAGGAAGAAAAAACGAGGGCTATGGGAGAACAGCTTAGGTCAGCGGAGTAGGCACTAGCGAAGGTGAACAAAGGAGCGGCCTACGGAGAGAACAGTAGGGAACCGGCAACCAGAACGGCGGAGAAGAAAGAGGAAACAGGTTCTGAAAAAGCAGGTTCAGCTGGTTCAATGGTCACAAGACCTAGCTTCAGTGAACTAGGGGGGGGGGGGGGAGACCAAAACAGCTGGCGCCACATGCGCGAGTAACCTCCAGGTGCAGGGCACTCTAGCAGAAAAGTCACAGCACTTGATAATCGCCGGTGGCTCGAATTGAAATCGATGCGCAGAAGCAATCAAAGAGAGTGTAAGAGGCGACAAGAGGGTTTCAGTAAGAACGTTCCCAGGATATAAGTTGGAAGCAGTCATGAGGCAAGCGAGGGCAAACCTCACAACTAAAGCTAACGAACGAAACCTCGTGGTAATTGCGGGCGGTCTAAAAGATGTCTTAAATAAAGAATCGGCAAGACTAGCGACCACACTGGCGAAATGGGTCGATGACATGCGCGCCATTTCCTGTCAGGTACAGGTAGTGGTATGCACGATACCGGAGGTACCGGTGCATGACGGCAAGCTGAAAAGAGCGGTTGTCGACGTAAACAAAGAGATGTGACAGATGTGTAGAGAGAAAGGCTTCGAAGTAGTGGAAATAAACAGAGGTACTTAGGTGGGGTGGTTTTCAACGAGACAGAATTCACTTCGATAGGAGGCTAGGTCATGAGGTGGGTTGGCGACTTGCTGGTCGCGCAGTAGCTTTCTTGTGGAGTACGCGGGCCCTTCGGTGTTCAGGATAGCTAGCAACGAGGAAAAACAACTAGGGGGGCGTTTTGACAGGCGTTATAAACAGATACGATTCCAAAGTGGCAGCAACAAAAAAGACACGTGGAGTCCGGGGGAGAAATCGACGTAAGCACGAGGGCCGAGCACATTCAGACGTCGGATATAATACAGGGTGGGAGGAATCGGTTGAAGTGATAAGAGATAGAAGAACAGTTCAGGGAGGAGAAGCTGATGGTATATGGGTTTGTAGAAACATATCTTAGGGGCAAAGAACAACCACCTAGCAATCCGCACTACGCATGAGAATATTGTAATAAAACAGAAGGCAGCAGAAAGTACATACTGGCAAAGGGTCAAGCAGGAGGGCAGGGAGCATTTATGGCTAAAAGAGACAGTGGCAGGGTGGATGACGCTCCTGGGTTTTGTATACTTGAGGACAAGGGCAAAAGCCAGAGACTAAATCCAACAAATGATGCAGTGCATAGAAAATGACATTAACGAACTTGGAGAAGAGTGCCAGGTAATTATATTATGAGATATGAATGCACACATAGAAGGTATGGGTAGATATAATGACCAAAACGGCAGAACTCGAATGGTTACGTGTGAAAGGCGTGATTCAATTATCTGCTACAGTACCGAGAAATGCGAAGGGCAGATAAAATGAAAGGTAGGAAGGCTGCATTCGACGATAGATTACGCAATCATGTCAAATAGGGTGTATGATCGGCTAAGGATTATGAACGTAGATGAATGCAGGTCCCGAAGGTTGGCTAGTGATCAAACCTATCAAGCTGAGGTTTGGAAGAGAAATGAAAATGGGAAGGAGGCATTATGAGCAACCACATGGTAATATATATTCAGAAAGGCAATTGGCAATAGCAGCTAAAGAGATTGAGAAACTAATCACCGAGGATGCACATGTAACTCGAATTTTTGAGTCTGAGATTACTAAGAGACTAGTCAAATTGAATGGGAAAAGGAGACACAAACCCAAGAGCTGCCTGGATGAGGAAGTTAAGGGAGCTATAGTAAGACGTCAGGAAGCTTCCAGGGAACACAGGTATGCTAAACACAGGGGTGGCCCGGAAGATGATGTTCAAAAAGAATGAGATAACTTTTTGAATCGCAGAGGGGAAGCATTAAATCTGACTAGTGAAACGATTAGAAGAAAGGGGGCTCAGGGGATGGCGGAAGTAAACAAAAAGGATAGAAAGGCCGCTGCAAAGTTTTGTAACAATCTCAATTGTCTGAGTAATAAGACAAGCATGGAACAGAGGTTTATACCTACAGTTTAAGGGGTTAGGCTAGAAGGGGATGAGTAAATGGACTATATAGAAAATATGATGAAAAAAATTCAAGCACCAAGAAAACGCTACATGCACCATACCGGATGAGGACGGACCAATCAGCGCAGTGGCTCCACTGGGACAACGAGAGTTGGAAAGGGCAGGGAAGAGGGTTCCTAGTAGCACATCCACAGGCCCTGACGGCATCTCAATAAGTTATGCAAATAAAAAAACTAGGACCAATCCCGCAAAGCAATAATGGATGGTGAAGCCCCCAGTGGGTGAAAACTAAGCAGAATGAGCATGATCTATAAAAGAAAGGGGGACAAAGCTGATATAAACAACTACCATTCTATAACAGCGACATCAGTAGTTTACAGGCGGGTGATGCAGATAGTAAATGCAAGACTACCGACATGGGTGGAGAATAAGGGGGTGCTCAGAGAATTAGAAAATGGGTTCCGTAAACGAAGGAAGTTGCAGGACCATCTGTTTTCATTGATGCAGTGTATTGAAATAGCGGGAAAAGAACACAGGTTTCTGTCGCTGGCATTTCTAGATATTGATTAATTGATATGTGGGGTTTAACGTTCCAAAACCACTATATGATTATGAGAGACGCCGTAGCGGAGGGCTCCGGAAATTTCGACCACCTGGGGTTCTTTAACGTGCACCCAAATCTGAGCACACGGGCCTACAACATTTCCGCCTCCATCGGAAATGCAGCCGCCGCAGCCGGGATCCGATCCCGCAACGTG